TTTGGCATGTCCTGGCTCTGCATATACTCCAGGACAATGCGCGTGGTGTTCATAGTGCTCATAATTGCCGCAGTGATCTGAGCGGGCTCCATGATCCCAGTGCTAGCTATGGCGCCTGGTCTGAAAAAAGGCGCGAAACTAGTATCTGACGGACCAGGGGAAGGAGGGAGGGAGGGAGGGAGGGAGGGGCGAGTGACGACATGGCGTACAGGTACAGGGAATTAAAATCAACAAAGGTGGCTGTGCATCAGGGAGAAACACAAACAACTGTCACACAGAATGGCCCCCCCCAAAGATTGAACTCAAAACCCTGGGTTTAGCAGGCTATTGATTTCACGGCGGGAGGGGGAAGCTAATGAATACAGAACAAATCTATTTTTTACATCTTAAGACGACGGTGCAGCATGACTGATAGCCCTCGGCATCTTCTGGGTGCTTGGCAGCAAATACTGGGCGCTTGGCAGTTAGTGTACTAAGACTCATAGCCACATTTTTCCTGTATGATGACGATGGCCTTCAGGCCTATTGCACGATCTGCAGCTCAGGGAAGACTCTGCTAATGTGCGATGGGCGCTTGGCAGAAAATGGCATACTACGACTGATAGCCATCATCGTCATTGTGAAGGCAGCAGAGTATGACTGGGGGGATGGGGCACTGGGGGACATACGGAGTTCCAGCCACTGCTGTACGATGACGACGGTTACTAGTCGTAATACACCATCTACTGCCAAAAGGCAAAAGGCAAGGGGCTGGTGCAATGCAGCCCTATGGCTGCCAGCCCCACGGCTGCCAGCACCCAGATCGCCGATGAAGGCTACCAGTCATGCTGCACCGTCTACCGCCAAAAGGCAGTTAGCTGCTGCTGCTGTGTAGCAATGCAGTCCCACGTCTGCCGGCACCCAGATGACATATGGTGACGGTGAGCTGAGCTGAGCGGGCTCCATGCTTGCCGTGGTATGTTGTCTGCACAGGTAACCCAGGTAAAAAGGCGCGAATCTATTGTCTGCCGTTGCTCTGACGGAGGGGGAGGGGCCTGACGACATGTACCCAGAACCCCCCGCGACACTGTTTTGCATCATTCGGGCATTGGGATCTCAACCCAGAATTCCAATGGGCGGCGGAGACTGCGGGAACTGTGGGATAGCTACCCATAGTGCAATGCTCCGGAAGGCGACGCTAGCCTCGGTACTGTGGATGCGGTCCGCCGAACTAATGCACTTAGAGCATTTTATGTGGGGACACACACAATCGGCTGTATACAACCGATTTCTATAAAACCGGCTTCTATAAATTCGACCTAATTTCGTAGTGTAGACACCCTAAGGTGCCACAAGTACTCCTGTTCTTTTTGCGGATACAGACTAACACGGCTGCTACTCTGAAACCTTAGATAAAAGCCTTATTTAAGTCTTGTCTGTGACCCAGTAATGGCATCAATAACCTCCTCAGCTGACTTACTTGCCTTTTGTGGGTTTCAAAAGGAAATAGTGTGATGCTAGGGCATACTAATATCACACTGAGAGGAAGGATGTACTAGTGGTTAGGGCCCTACTCTGGCGACTCAGGTTCAATTCCCTACTTGGCCACAGACTTCCTGTGTGACCTTAGACAAGTCACCTAGTCTCTCTGTGCCTCAGTTTCCATCTGTAAATAGGGATAATAGCACTGCCCTAGCTCCCAGGGGCATTTTGAGGATAAATACGTTAAAGGTTGTGATGTCCTGCTATACTGGGGACCATATAAATATTTTAGACTAGATTAGTTAGTCAGGAATAACTGTTGTTCATATAGCATTGATTTGTACATGCGGCAGTACTTTAAACTGTTCTACCTTTTTAGGCTACTTGTTTCCTGAGGACAGCCCCTCTGTGCCTGCCCAGAGCCCCACTGAAGTCAATGGGACTATTCCTAGGGTGAAATTTTGGCACCATCAAAGTAAATGGCAACACTTCCATTGATTTCAGTGGAACCAGAATTTCACTCATAGCACATAAAGTTACATATGTGTGTAAGTCTTTGCAATAGGAGCTCAAGATTTCCTCTCTTCCCCTCCCCCCCCCCCCCCCCGCGCCGTGATGTGCTCTATAGAGTGGTTCCTGTGCTTTCTTCATAGTTGTTATGGATAAATGGCACTATAAAAAATTCAGTAGTTAGTAAAATTATTCATTAAAAGTGAAACGTAATAAATAAGAATGCAGTTAACTTCTACAAAATCTCTGCCTGTTGTTCTGTAATAAATAAAATAGATAAACAGATAAATATAAAATAAGTTATCAGTTACGTTAATTTGGGAAAATGACTAATCATAAAGCTACTGATCTTAAAAACCTTTACTTTCTGCGGTCAGTCCAGATACTCCCACATGGGCTTTTTGCCACCCATACTAAATGTGTAAGAAGCAATTGCTGGGTTTGCTTTCAAAAGGGTGGGTGGGATTTTGCAGCTGTCACAGCTCTGATAATGAAGCTCCTCCACTGCCAGTTGCTGAGATCAGTTTCCCATAGAAAAGAAAGTAGCTGCTGTGTGTTAGACAGTGTTGTGTGGAAACTGTCTAGATGCTGACTTCTAAATGGCAAGCCCCGTACCTAGTATGTAGCTTTGAGAAAATGTAGTTCCATAACCAGTGGAAGTTAAAAGAACGGCACCACAAAGAAACTGCAGCTGAGTCCACCGAGTGGGGTGAACGAATCTTTGGCAGTGAGCTTTCCCAAAATAATACAGTAATGTCAAGCATATTAAAGGTAATGTGCAAGAATTAGTCTCAGCTCACGCCAAAGTGTTAACATTTAATTTTATTGACACACTAGGGCATGCGTTCATGTGTTTAGCAGATTATACTGACAATTACATCTGCTTCTCCTCCTGTTTGTTTTCCACTGGAACTGAAAATTCTCCATATGCTGGGTTTAAAATGATCTTTGATATTGTTTCTTTTCTGCTTTTCTTTCTTTCCCCAGCTGAAAATGAAAATGGTCAGTTGCCAATTTGTGTTTGTATTCTCTGCCTTTCAACAGACTTGCTACTATAACTTTTTATAATTAGGCATAAGATTTATCGGGGTGTATGTGAATTGTGTGGCAGTCAGACCCTAACATGTTACAGATGAAGGAGTCCTTTCCTCCTCTGGTTATATAGATTCTCTGCAAAGGTTATTAATAATGTGATTTGCCCCACAGGCTCAGACTGCATGAAGAAAAGGTAATTAAAGATCGAAGGCATCATCTCAAGACATATCCAAACTGTTTTGTTGCCAAAGAATTGATTGACTGGCTGATTGATCGCAAGGAGGCCTCAGACAGAGAGACAGCAATTAAACTTGTGCAGAAATTATTGGATCGCAGCATTATCCATCATGGTGAGTGAAACAGCAGCAGCCACAATTATTTTCATTTTTTTCTTGATAACTGTGATGCAATTAAGGGTAACTCCCAGGGCCGGCTCTACCATTTTTGCCGCCCCAAGCAAAAAAAATAAATAAATAAAACCCACTCGGACTGCTGCCGCCCGAACTGTCAAAGTGCAAAAAAAAAAAAAAAAGCTGCTCAGACTCTGCCGCCCCAAGAATGGATGGAATGCCGCCCCTTAGCATGTGCCGCCCCAGGCACGTGCTTGCTCTGCTGGTGCCTGGAGCCGGCTCTGGTAGCTCCTGACCCTGCTTCTGCAGTTGAAGAAGGCCCCTGATTATTCTGCTCTATGTGAGTGAGGCAAGGTTCGGGCATTCCCATGGAAAAGGGGGTCCTTACACCCTGTGCCCTGCATATCTCTGCTCCATGGGGACTCCCATATATGCCAATGTACAGGGGTCACTAATAGAGATGTAAGGGTGGAGCCTGCAGAGCCATGACTACTCAGGTCCATTGTCCATCTCCCTCTGTAAAGTGGGATGTAGTTGCTTCAGACAACACTGTTGCCTTAGTGGCTAAAGAGCGGCTTTCCTGCAGCAGTCTGTAGAACTCCTATGTATGCTAACATCTAACTACCTGGACTTGAGGCTGCTGGAGGGGAGGATTTCTCCTTTAGTGAATGAAGTGACTGTAATGAGACATGTTAAATGCAACATCCTTTCTTTATAAACTGAAGCTGTTCTGTACCTTTTCTCTTGTTCTGTATCATGGTGACCCTGTGGCTTCATTTCTAGAATAATGATGTATTGGAAGTTACATGCATTATTTGTGAAATGTGGACACAAACCACTATCAAATCACAATAGTAATGTTTATATACTCATTTTACACCTGTGTAAAGTATAGGTGCAAAATGACTACAATGTACAAGTCAGTGGCGAATCAAGCCCTTTGTTTCAAGTGCACAGTGTTGTCCAGTTAAAAAGTCAACATATGAAATTGCAATTTTCCCATCTCTTTATAACAGGGAATAGAGGAACTTTTGTAATTGACAAGTTGACTTTCTCCAGAGACACCTGTAAGTGTGCAAGCACTGCTGCAACTGTCAGCAGTGCATAAACAATACCTTAATTAAAGGGATAAGTATGCAGATGAAATGTGTGCCACTACTACACATTCTGCTTGATTCAGAAATTAAAATTCTGGGTCTTTATGGAACCTGGGAATTGAGGTAGATAATTAAAGAACAGATACAAAGTAATTATAGGGGCTCCAAATGCCAATTGCTTTATTCTCTATTGAAGAAATGTCAGTGAATAGTTTACATGGAAGTCAGAGTAACTTAATTTAATTGAGCAATGGAAACTTTATATGTGAAAGTTTGTTTAAATCTTTAATAAAACTTTAAAATGTTTTCCACCTCAGAACATAATCCCAGCCCGCTCCTTCCAGCTAGGTGAGTCAACGAGCAATGGCAGGAGTCCTTGACAAAAAAAGATGTTAAAAAAATTAAGTACAAAATTGCTGTTTTCAAGGATTTTCATTCATTGGCTTCAAAGTTAATGCAACTGTTTGAAGCATGCTCTGATGTAGGACAAGTTCAGATAGCCTAGTAAGCCAGGTTCCATAGGGGCCTCTTATGCCACCAGTAGTAAGTTAAAACGGTAATGTAATGTTTAATGCTCATGCACTAGTGCCATATGGGGTGGAGTATGAGTCTGTGCATGCTGACTGAGAGCGCTGTGGTGATAACAGCTTGACTGGACTGTCACCCACTTTATCTCTGTCTTAGTTGGAGCTCATTTCAGTCCACCCTCTCCAATTTAACAAGACTTTCATCAACTGTTCCCCTAAAAACGTTTTCTAGCTCTCAATACATTTCCCATTGCCTCTCCGACTCCCCAGCTGGCATGGCAGAGCAGTTTGAGAAGTGGAGAAGGAAGATTATACAGTGAATCTTAGACCTTATTATGTGTCTTTGCAACAAGTGTCAGGTTAGCTAGATCCAGCCCTGGATTAATGCAAGTGACAGTCATCGTTAGCCAATCCTGAAATTACTGATTCAGGTTTTTAGGAAACACCTGATTTAATCATAGAATCATAGAAGATTAGGGTTGGAAGAGACCTCGGGAGGTATCTAGTCCAACCCTTTGGTAAGAAGCAGGACCAATACCAACTAAATCGTCCCAGCCAGGGCTATGTCAAGTTGGGCCTTAAAAACCTCAACAAATGGAGATTCCACAACTTTCCTAGGTAACCCATTCCAGTGCTTCACCGCCCTCCCAGTGAAACAGTGTTTCCTAATATCCAACCTAGACCTCTCCCACTGCGACTTGAGACCATTGCTCCTTGTTCTGTCATCTGCCACCACTGTGAACAGCCGAGCTCCATCCTCTTTGGAACCCGCCTTTAGGTAGTTGAAAGCTGCTATCAAATCCCCCCTCGCTCTTCTCTTCTGCAGACAAAACAAGTCCAGTTCCCTCAGCCTCTCCTCGTAAGTCATGTGCCCCAGGCCCCTGATCATTTTTGTTGCCCTCCGCTGGACTCTCTCCAATTTGTCCACATCCTTTCTGTAGTGGGGGGCCAAAACTGGATGCAATACTCCAGATGTGGCCTCACCAGTGCCGAATAGAGGGGAATAATCACTTCCCTCGATCTGCTGGCAGTGCTCCTACTAATGCAGCCCAATATTCCGTTAGCCTTCTTGGCAACAAGGGCACACTGCTGACTCATATCCAGCTTCTCATCCATTGTAATCCCCAGGTCCTTTTCTGCAGAACTGTTGCTTAGCCAGTCGGTCCCCAGCCTGTAGTGGTGCATGGGATTCTTCTGACCTAAGTGAAGGACTCTGCACTTGTCCTTGTTGAACCTCATCAGATTCTTTTGGCCCAATCCTCCAGTTTGTCTAGGTCACTCTGGACCCTATCCCTACCCTCCAGCATATCTACCTCTCCCCACAGTTTAGTGTCATCCGCGAACTTGCTGAGGGTGCAAAATCACAAGGTTTTGCCAGATAGGTGTCTTTCGCTATGCATTGATATTGCAGCATCCATTGAAATGAATGGCTGGCAGGCTCCAAAAGATTAGAGATTCTATTTGGATAATTATCTAAAAGTTTGGATTCCAAAAGATACCACTCAGCCTTTTAGGTGTGGGGACATATTTGTACAATAAACAATTTTGGGGCGGAGGAGGCAGGACTATGCTCTGCATATGCCTATTCTGTTTTTAAGTTCACTAGTGATGATTGGTATCTTGTTCTGATTGTGTTAGGTCTCTAACATAAGTGTGATCATTTCTGATGTCACTTATTTTATGTTTCAGTTTGTGATGAGCATAAGGAATTCAAGGATGTCAAACTTTTCTACCGCTTTAGGAAAGATGATGGAACATTGCCACTGGATAACGAGGTGAAGGTGTTCATGAGAGGACAGAGGCTATATGAAAAGTATGTTGCATGCAAAACCATAGCATGTTGACTGTATTAGCTTCCTTGTAGCATCTTGTTTCACATTAGATTGCAAGTCCTCCTGTCTTGAATTGTAAATGCTTGAATAGTCCCCAATATGATGAGGCTCCGATTCTCACTGGAGCCTTTGCACACTATCGCATAATAAATAATGGCTGATTTGGCATTTAAAAGTGTAAACCTGGGACTTAAAACTGTCAGATTGTGGCCTTAATAGTAGACCTAATTTTAGTTAACAAGAAAAACTAATCTTCACTGAGTCAGCCTCCACTATTTCCACAGAAGAAAGATTATATTAAAACAAGTTACAAAAACAGTCCAGAACGTTTAATTAAGAGTTGAAACAGATGGTTACACTGAGATTCTGGATATCCCACTGGATTACTTGGGTCAAATAACTGAGAAGTTTAACCAGATTGTCCACTGTAGAATTAATTTAATTCATTCAAGGCACAGGGGGTTGTAACATGGTAGTTTCAGGCAGAATGAATAAAATGTTGTCATTGACTGTGCAAAAGTGTGAACAGACGATTTATTTATTAAGATGCTTAAAGTATTATTCCAGACTGACTCCAGCTGTCAGGCAGTACACGTGTGATTACCCAGGGCAGCAAGGCCCAGATCCTCAGACGTATTTAGGCACTCAATTGCAATAAGTGTTAGGTGCCTAGATACCTTTAAGGAACAAGCGTAAGCAGCCATGTGAGCCACTGTGTTCACTTTATCAGGGGGTAGCCATGTTAGTCTGTATCTACAAAAACAAAAAGGAGTCCGGGGGCACCTTAAAGACTAACAGATTTATTTGGGCATAAGCTTTCATGGGTAAAAAACCTCACTTCTTAAGAAAGCTTATGCCCAAATAGATCTGTTAGTCTTTAAGGTGCCACCGGACTCCTTGTTGTTTTTGTGTTCACTTTGTGTTGCATCAGTATTGTTTCCCTGCTAGAATAAAGTTTTAAATGAAAAGTTCATACAGAGAAAGCTATTAAAGGCAAGAATAAAAACTGCATTAGCATAAACCCCATTCCAGCAACTCCAGCTGTACTTACGTGCCCAAGGGGCTAAAGAATCTCCAAATAGCTGTCCCTCCTTCTGCTTGGCCTGCAGAGGAAGAGGGCAGTGGAGGAGTAGTGGGAAGCACCGAAAGGGAGAGGCAAAGGATCAACAAGGATGGGAGAACCTGCCAAATCCTCAGTAGGAGGTTAACTTTACTGCCATGCAGCAGGGAGAGTAGCTGGCAACTCCTCTGAAGCACTTACTTGCCCTATAGTTTGTATCAGAGCAGTCGTCCTCCGGAGCAGTGCATGCTGAGTAGCAGTTTGTGACAGCAGCTAACATTGTAAATGGACAGAAACTTTAAAGATATGAGAGGTGAAGTGTGACTAGGAACTTGGTCAGGAGAGAGGCAAAGCCACCAGGGAACAGGGGAGGGTGTGGCGGGTGAGGGCAGTACGGTCTCTGCGTCAGCTGCGAGCCAGAGGTAAGACAGGAGACACTTCATAGCTGCATGCAGGGCCGGATTAAGATCTTTAGAGGCCCTAAGCACTGAAAAGATTATGGTGCCCCCCCATATGAAATTCAAAATAAAAACAATATTATACCATAAAATAAAATTTTATTTTTCGAAATGACACAAAACTTACATATATGCTGAAATTTAAATAGCTTCTTTCTAGATTTTCTAATTGCAAAATTCTGGATAAGTTCATCGAAGCTGACTTGATGAAGCATGTCCGCTTCCATACACGATATGGAAAGTGAATCAAGTCTGTCCTGACACATTGTTGTTCTCTGAGGGTTTTTTATTCGTTTCAGCTGAGAAAAAGAGCGTTCTGCGGAGCAGTTAGTAATCATCAATGTTAGAAAAATACGTAGTGCGAGCTCTACATTTGGAAATTCACATTGTATTCCGTCTTTCAATATTGTGTCATGAAGATCAATGTGACTGAATTTCATTTTTCCTGTTTCATTAAACTTTGCGCGCATATAACAGTAGAACTGCCATACTTCTCCACAGAGATTCATGTTCAAATCAACAGGGTATGAGTCAACTAGCTTTTGGGAACCTTGTGAATATTGTTCGTCAGATAAGTTCATATTGTTTAGAAAAGAAAATCTACTTGATATTTCTTTGTACACTTCACCTCTCCTCTTCATATGAGCTTCAAGTGTATCGATTATAGTGTAGTAAGTAGATACGCGAAATTTGTCTCTAGGATTCAATGCTGTTTCTATTGCACTGCTATCATTTGCTTGTTTTTTCCTGATTCGCTTGCGGGACTGGGCTTCTTTGTAGTTAGTATCAGGCAAGATATCTTTTGATATGTCTTCAAATCTTTCAAAATCATTTCTCAAAGTGTGTAAGTGGTCTGCTAATGATTGACAGAGGTCTGCACATGTTTTCAGATCCAATTCTTTTTCTTGGAGAGCTTGACTTGTGTGGTAAAAGTGTTGTAAAATTTCATTCCACATGGTCAACATGAATACAAACTCTAGTCTTGCATCTTGTTTGCAATGTTTTCTGCCTCTCATATAGTTTCTCCCCTTTGTGATTTGTCTTCAGCTATACTTTCTAAAGCATCCACAATCTTTGAGTAGGACTCCAGAATTGCACTTGTTGCCACTCCATGTGCCTCCCAGCGAGTATTAGAAAGAGATTTCAACACACGATCATTGCTCAAATATGTTTTAAGAACTGCCCATCGGTGTGTTGAGGCAGAGAAAAATGTATAAAGTAACTGGACTGTTGAGAAAAACCTTACTGCCACCGGACAACAATCAACAGCACTGCAGCCAACAAGATTAAGAGAGTGTGCAGCACATGGTATGAATATGGCATATTTGTTCTGTTCTAAAAGCCTCTTCTGCAATCCTTGATAATGCCCTGACATGTTGGCAGCGTTGTCATAAGCTTGACCTCTTCACTTTGAGAAATCTATTTTGCAAACTTGGCACAGATAATGCAGTACTTGATTTGCCATTTCTTCACCAGTGTGGCTTTTCAAATTGAGGAATGTTATAAATCATTCAACTGGTTTTCCATCTGTGGGAGACACATATCTTAGTACAATACTCAATTGAGCAATATGTGAAAGATCAGGTGTAGAGATAACAGATAAACTGAAGTACCCAGCAGTACTTATTTCATCCACAATAGCTAAATGAACTTTGTCACTCATTAGAACAATGAGTTCATCACATATTGTCTTGGATAAGTATAATGGGTTACCTTTGCCAGCATTCCCATATTTTGAGATATGGCCTGCTAAAAATGGGTCAAACTGAGCCACAAGCTCCAACAATCCCAAGAAATTTCCATTCTGCAATGATCCAAATGTGTCATTTGATCCCCGGAAAGGCAGACCACATTCAGCTAATGTTTGAATAACAGCTATAACACGCTGCAAGACATGTTGCCAGTATTCACGCTCCCCTTTAATTTGTTCTTCCAATTTTTGTGTCAATCCAAAGCCCTGTCTTTGATTTAAATATGTCAACATTGAATCTCTGTGAGTAGTGCTATTTTCATGTTGTTCAATTAAAACAGTATTCTGCCAGTCACTAAATCCATCTGCAGCAAACCGGGATGTTGAAGGTTTATATGCAAAAAGTTTGCAAACAAAACAGTACATAGACCCTGTTGATGGTGAATACAGTAGCCATTCTCGAGTGTATTTCTCACCATTCGCTTTCATGCCGAAAAATAGTTTTTGTGGACAATATCTTGTTTGTTTGCCATTGGTAAAAGTCCGACGTGATTTCTCAAATGGCCCAGTGTGGTGTTGACAGTCATTTGGTCCACGATCTATCCAGTAAGCTATATCATCGGTACTGAAATCTATCCACATACCAGGATCTTTTCTCCTATTATTTACAGCATGAGCAGGTTCAGTCTCTGACACATCCACACCTTCTAGAACAATATCTGTTTTACCACTAGGAATAGGATGATCAGTTACAGTCTGACACATCCACATGTTCTGGAATGGTGTTTGTTTCACCAATAGAAGAATGGTCAGTCTCTGAAACACCTACAGGTTTTGGAACGATGTCTGTGCTACTGAGAGAAGATGTTGCTTCTGATGGATTCGCTTTGAAAAATGTCAGCTTTGGAAGATTTTGGAAAATTTCACTTGTTTCTTGTTTCTTTTCTTCCACCAGTTTACGTTTCTGTGCTCCACTCAGTTGATTATGTTTCATCCTGCCCCTTATCTCAGTTATCTGAACTTAAAAAAAACAAAACAAATTATACAACGTACACTATTTTTATGTGTGTGTGTGTGTGTATATATATATGAAAGAAAGAAAAAAACAAATCAAGTACGTATAACTCAGAAGAATATATCAATAATAAAACATAAATTTATTGCAATACATGACAGGATCTGATTTCCTTGCATTATTTCGATCTACGTTAGTAGGACGCCCTCCTGGGTTAGGTGGGGATAAGTAATAAAAAGAGAACAGAAAAACGGGGAAGAATGTGTAGTGGAGTGTAAGGAAGTCTACCAAAGTTCTGATTTTTCCCATGATGACTACTTCGATGCTTTTTTTGAAACATCAAATTTTTTTAAAAAATCATTTTTTGGTGCCCCCCATGCTTTGCTGGTGCCCTAAAGCACGTGCTTAGTCTGCCTATTGGGTAATCCAGCCCAGGGTTGGGTGGAGGGAACAGTTTGGGGTGCAGCCTGTAAACAAGCCCTTATGCTTTGTCATCTATGCACCATGCGGTGCTGATATAAAGTGTTGTGGAGTTGTCCTGTTTTTCCTATTTAGAGGAGGACTTTTGACTATGAATGTCTTCCTTTTATTGCTTTTTGTCAAAACGTCTTTGACATACAGAAGCCAGAACACAAATGTCTTTGATTTTTAATTGAAAGAAGAAGCAAATTACAGGGCAAACTCTATTTTGAATACAGTAATTGACCACTCGAGATTGTTTTCTCAGATAGAGGAGAACTGTGAGATTTCACTGTTGT